CCTGAAAAAGAAAAATTCACTTGAGTGGAACGAAGAAGCACAGAGCGCTTTTGAAACATTGAAATCATGTCTTACTGTTTCGCCAATTCTTATAACACCTGATTTTTCCAAACAGTTTATTTTATTGTGCGACGCCAGTTCCTTTGGTATTGGTTGTGTTTTTGCTCAGGAGCGAGACGGAGTAGAACTTCCAGTTTCGTATATGTCCGAAAAATTGTCCAAAGCGCAACGTAACTACTCTGTTTCTGAATTAGAATGTCTCGCTGTGATTAAAGGAATTAAGAAATTCCGCGCGTATATAGAAGGCCAGGATTTCTTAGTCATAACAGATCACGCAGCTCTTCAATGGTTGATGCGGCAAAAAGACTTATCAGGAAGATTAGCTCGATGGTCAATGAAGTTAAGAACGTTTACGTTTACCATAAAACATCGTAGCGGTTCTCAGAACGTCGTAGCAGACACCTTATCTCAGCAAACGGTCCGATAGTTGACTTAGATTCTCCACATTTTAAATATGCAGAATACTTGGATTTGATAGAGAAGATATCTACCAATCAGTCAAAATTTCCTGATTTACAAGTTAGAGATGGATATATCTATAAAAGAACTACGTTTACATCTGAAGATTTAAATCAAGAAAATCCTTGGAAACTTTGGATACCTTCAGCCTTGGTACCAGACATCTTGTATCAAGCTCATGATTCACCTAGTTCGGCTCATTGTGGCATGAGTAAAACCGTGGAAAAACTAAAAAGATATTTGTTTTGGCCTGGTATGGTTACGCAAATTCGAAACTATATATCGGATTGTGTCATTTGTCGTACTACGAAAAGTCCAAATACAATTCTAAAACCACCAATGGGAAAACCTTTGACTTCCGATAGACCATTTCAAAAGTTATATATTGACCTGTTAGGGCCATATCCTCGCACAAGGAAAGGTCACATAGGCTTGCTTATCGTCGTTGATCATAACACCCGATTCCATTTTTTGTGTCCACTTAAGAAATTCACCGCTCCTAAAATATGCGATTACCTTAAGGGAACAATATTTTATACATTTGGCGTTCCAGAAGTAATACTTTCTGATAATGGCAGTCAGTTTAAGTCAAGTTATTTTCAAGCTTTTCTTACTAGTTTTGGAGTCCAACAAAAACTTACAGCCATATATTCTCCACAGGCTAACGCGAGCGAACGACTTAATAGATCAGTATTAGCCGCCGTAAGAGCTTATGTAGGGAAAGATCACACCAATTGGGATGAAAACTTAGATGCTATTAGTGGATCTTTAAGAGCGTCTTTACATCGAAGCACAGGTTCATCGCCATACTTCCTGACTTTTGGTCAGAATATGATTCTCAACGGCAAGGACTACAGTCTCTTGCGCAGTCTTAACTTATTAGCTGACGACTCTCGGTTATCCAAACGAGATGTTTTACAACTGCAGAGACGACAAGCTAAGCTAAACATAAACAGAGTACATGAAGAAAACGCAAATAGATACAATCTACGCACTCGGCAGATAGATTTTAGAAACGGCGACTTAGTTTATGCTAGAAATTTTACGCAAAGCAATGCTCAGAAGAAATTTAGTAGCAAATTAGCACCCGTATTTCTCCCAGCCAGAGTTTATAAGAAACGTAGTTTTTACTATTATGAGTTAGAAGACGAGAAAGGAAAGAAATTAGGAGTTTATCATTTGAAAGATATGCAAAGCAGAAAGCAAGAGTTACTTTCAGATAAGGCTTCCTAGAGATAGTCTCGTTACCCTTATCTGTGGGTGTAGTGACCAACTAAGCTTACACTTACAGAAACTTTTCGACCCACCCTCGCACTTAAAATTATAGGAACTTTTCCATAGCGAAAATAGCTCATAACTGGCTATGGCCAATCGCGATTGACAATGATCGTACGATTGAACAGTTAGTCTAAGGAAAGCTCAGAACCGCGGTTACCTGCAGTCAGCTTCCCAAAGCTTAATTCACTCTTTGATAAAAACCCTTTGGAAAACGTTTATATTTCTCGGCGCTGCCAAAAATTAAGTCAATATTACACGCGGTAATTAAAATTTATTAATTGAGAAAACCGAGTGAACCCAGAGTGGTATAGCCAGCTATATCTTGTTGTGTGAATTTGTGCGTGGAGAAAAGGTGAATAATTGCCAATTTAGTGCGTTTCAATGCTAACTCAGTTTTCATAGGGATCCGACTTCGAAGGCGTGACGGAGGCCTAGGCCTCGAAAAGGCAGATTTCCCTGCTCTACGGCCGTCTTTAGCCGATTCCGCCAACCGTCAGCAGTGGATCTCAGTTGACCTCCAGTTTCACTCCATAGTCAGCGGCCCGGACGGACTTAACCTCCGGCCGTTGCTTACATAACCGCCCACGTTTGGATGAGAGCGGAACCACCCCAAGTGGAAGACCTGAGCGCAGCCAACCAATTCCGCTGCCGCAGTTTTTTTTATTAGACCGGAGCAACTGCTTGGTTATCACCATCGGCAAGCTGCAGTGAAAACCCCCTTCGCTCCCCTCATCTGGCCGACGAAGGCCTAAGCTATTGATATACGCTTATCGCCAGCACAGTGGATGCTGCCTAAGACCCGTTAGGATCGCCTAGACGGACACCTGCCGTCGCGGGAGTCGACTTTTTATTTTCTTTTTGTTTTGATTATACCTTTCTTATATATTCCTAATTAATAATGATTTAAATACTCGCAGAGCAACTGGAGTATGGCATTCGGTAGAAGTTTGACTTAGGGTTCTGTAAATTTGACCCACAGCTCTTCAATGTCAACGTGAACTTGGGCCCAACTTTACGCACATATCATGGAGTGGATAATTAAAAGGTCGTGAGTACTAAATAAAACAACAAAAACAACAACAAATACCCATTATAAAAAATTTCTATAAAATGCCGCTCTACTGTCCCTTTTGAAATCTTGCTCTGTTCCTTAATTATTTGAATTTTCTTTAATTGATATATAAATACTTATTACTACTTTTTATTAAATACTATGAATTAAACTATGGGTTAGGAAATAAATATGAAAGGTTAGAAGATAGGTTAAGATTTGTTAATTATAATTAAAATTAAATTTAGAATCAATGAAGATAAATTTGGAGAAATGGAATTACAAATGAAATAGAAATTTATTGAATATGAATGTTGAATAAATAGTTATAATGGTTTGTCGAGTACTTTTGTCGGACATTTACTTTATTATGTGGTAGGGTTATTTGAACTCGGCCAAGGGACAATGAAGAATTTAAGCAACATTGTCATGGTAGGGAGGGTAAAGACTCGTGGAATTATTAACACCTTAATTCCCAATACCTATCAGAATCCTTAGTTCAGATTTAACGCGAGTCGGCGTGCATCCGTAGTATATTTATAGATTCATTCTCTGATATTATTTCTCTAGTTCAGCTTGATTATGAATTATTGTTTTGAATAAGCCGCACTAATTAAATGTAGTAGCGTCGTACTATCCTTAGCTAAAAGAACCCCGACCTACGGCGAGCTAGACCCGAGCATAGCAAGAGTGCGCATCCCTAGCGAAGGAAGTACAAGGTCCTCTTTTATAGTAACTAACACCCTCTATAAAAAGGCCACATAATAAAAATATTTAAAACTACGTACACTACAACCTACAGGCTATTATTATAAATCAGAAACTCATGAGAGGTTAAAGTGGCACCTTCGCTGCTCACTCAAAATAAATTAACATGAATGAAACTTTAAACTAAATTCTATTAAATGGGACAAGACTCTATTCAAAGATTTATGTCCAATCTAATATCTACTGTATGGCAAGAGGATCTACGCAAAGATTTACATGGCTTATTAGCTCAAACGTCAACCAAAAGGGTATGCAAAAGGTGGGTAGAGATAGCTAATTATATATTGGTGATCACATCAACATGAGAGACATTTTGCCATGTCCGACCGTTAGGATCACCAATAATTTTTGAAACCATTCTAAACATGACACAAAAGTCCAATTAATGGGGCTTAAGTCTTAAAGTTGTGTCCTTGAATTTCTGTAGAATTTAAATTTATATGGTATTTTGCTAAAGATTTTTTACCATATAAAATGGGATCATAAATAGAAGACTTATTTGGCAATACAGGGAGAAAAATCGATATATCTAGCATACATTTTTAATGAATATTTTTTGTTTTCAAAACAGTGACTTTAGAAAATCGTAGAGCTTTGAATTCTTGACTACTTAAGTGAATCATATTTAAAGTTTAGATTAATTCTCCTAAAGCTTGTGTTTATCTTGTAATTAATGAAACAAAACTTAGGGTACCAACTGCAGCTTTCTTACTTTTCTTATTACAATACATAGTTTTTTGTGTAACAAGCTTATAGTTAAATGCTAATGGGTTTGAATAAAATTTAAAATACAATTCAATGTAGTAAAAAAAATGTATCTTTAAAATCTACAAAATCTCTGCATATCAACTTCCATTTGAGCCGTTTAAATGAATTGATTTTTGTAAATATTTTGCCGTTTTGGGCAATTACATGTCTGTGGCTCCAAATCGCTAATTGCAACAAGAAGACTTGCGCTGCGTCGCCCTGGCCTCAAATTCCCAGACGCCCCCCGGCCGGGGCTTATCGGCACTTCCGAGATACTACGTGATTGGGCCAGAACGAGTACGAGTGGCTATCTGGGAGCTTGGTGTCGGATTTGCCATTTCTGGATTCGATAAGCGGGTGATTCATGCGAATCAGATGCATCTCCATCTCTCCGCTGGCATTTCCTCGTGTTGCCAGCAACACTTTCTCTTTCGGATTGCGGCGCGCTCTTTGCTTTCTCTTAGTGCCGTGTTGCTGGCCGGCTCGTTTGCTCTTCGGCCGATGCGGCGCAACATGTTGCTGGCCGACGGGCACTTGTTGCTGGCGACGCGGCGGTTGCGGCTTTTTGGCATCTTCGTCGCGAGCTTGGCTTAAATTGTTACCAAACGTTTAATGATCTTCAGTTAGGCTCCGAACTTTTACCAGTCAGGTCGTGTCCGCCGCTGCTTCCATTGGCCTGGCCACCTCAAAAGTCCCCAACGCGGCTCAAACGTTAACGGAATTTAAAGTCGAGGGAAAGAGAAGAAAACAGAAACTGCATCATTTGCATAAAGCAAATAGAAAACGTAACGAAAATACGACTAAAGTTGATTCGGATTGTGTGTTGTTTCATGTCGCATTTCTGACATTTTTTCGCGCCACCATTTCTGGGATATTTCCCCCAGCGACGTGTTTGTTTGAACGGAAAACAGTGCATCGACATTAAATCGAATTGACTGGAAAAACAATAATAGAAATTATAACCCTTGACTGAACAAATATCATAGCCGGAAGTGAACCATGCGTGTTTCATTGGCAGTTTGGGGCACCCTGTGCCTGTGGGTGGTCGCAGCAAACGCACAAGGATTTATACCGCCGCCCAATGTCGGACCGCACAACGGGGTAAGTCCTTCAGCTGGCTCCTGAAATAGGCTAAGAAATGTGGCTTAAAATATGTCACTATGCCCCATGTTCCACATTCCCAGGCACAAAGGCAGTTCCCTCACAAGCGCCAGTCCAAATATGTGCCAAATAATCATAAAAAGAGTAAAATATTTATCGCTTGATTTGCATTTCCATTGAATCATATGCAAATATCCATTGTTAAATCTATCTTTGTGGGCCCTCCGCTTGTCCCGACCAAATTGACACAGTTTTTAGATCTTTTCGAGTTTCGGCCGAGAAGAAAGTTGCCGTGCCTTGAGTAGTACTCGCATAAATATGTCGAACAGCATTCATTTTTCGATCCCCCAAAGGCTGGTCGAGTCTCAAAAATTCCACGGACTTGCATAAGACTTTCTACCAACAAGAAACCAAACGTTCGATCTGATCGCAGTTCCCAAGCTGCTCATTTGAAAATTCAATTATTTAAATATTTGTATTCGGATCTAAATATTAATTGCTGAAAAATTTATGGCCGCAACTGAAAACGAAAACGATTTTCAACGCCTCAATGAACTTTCCCTTTTCACAAATATATTTTTATCTCTGGCTCGGCGGAGTGTGGGGGACTCGATTAAATGAAGATGCAAAGGAAGAGTAAGAGCTGAGCCGAGACATCGTTTAAGGCAAAACCTGTTCGCTTGGAGTGGTCAGGAGACCAAAAACTGAACATAAAAACCAATCTTCCCAGCTCCAAATAAACCGCCAAGTCATCTGGGATGTTCAGAATTTCTCGGCGGATTCTGGCCAGTTGATAATGGCAACCATTAGATAATTGATGGCCCTGCCCAGCTAGATCCATTGATTTTCCCGTTTTGATGTAACCCCATCAAGTGGGGCATGCGATGTTACAGTTTTCACTTTCGTGGCTAAGTCCGACAAAGATTTGGCCAAAACCACAACAATTTATGATGTGAAATCAGCAGCTTTGTTGTCTCCCATTTTTTCGGCTGTTTAAGCTTTGCTTTGAGACGAACTAATGCCTATAATTGAGGCTTGGATTACGTAAAAGATTTATTTCGATGTTGTTCAAGCTGCAGGCAATGTTTTGATACGGGATTATGGCTGAATGGAGAGACAGATGAAAAGGCCCTGATCACCGCGGACTCTTGCAGAATGCCAGTGCAGTCAGGCGGCAAACAAAAGATGACAGCTCCGCGTCCCTTAAATGACTTTCTTTTTGGAGCCAAGCTCTTCGGTCGTCATCCTCGCCCGTGGCATTGTCCTTAACCTTTCCGTGCATCCGTCGACTTGGCGATTTCCTCTTCGGCAACTTGCACAATTTTTCCCATAACGTAAGAAAAACTTGTCCCGGACCAGATTTCTGCCAACATCATCTCTCACCATTGACATAAGTTGGCTGCGGCCAGCGATTGCATCTTGGCCTTTTCTTTTTATTGAGTTTTTGGTAAAACAAGCAATCACGCGGAATGGAAAAAGTATCATCATCTTCCTTTTGTCTGGCAGCGAACAGGAACTGGTTGCAGTTGCTGCTGGCCCAAGAGGTTTTCGCTCTTAGGATTCGGCATCGATTCGGTGGCGGCTGTGCAATTTCTTTTGTGCGCCTGGGCTTTGTTTTTGCCATTGCCTAATTTTAACTTTTATTATTTTGTATATATTGCCTCACGTAGCGTTCGCAATTGTGTCTTGTCGTGTAAACTTGGCAGCCGGCAGCCGGGCAGCCAGTCAACTGCTCAGAAACATCTGGTGTCCATCGGCAGATCCCAGTTCCCGGTTTCCCAGTTCACAGCGCAGGCGCTGCACAACACAAATCCCCAACCCGACAGAAACAACAATTTACCATCCTCGAACATGTTTTCGCTGGGCCTGCCAAATAGCCGACTTGCTGGTTGTTTTGTATTTTTTTTCTTATTTATTTGTGTATATTTAGCGTTTATTTAACACATTTATGTTGGTTTTCCGCGCTCTGCTTTCACTTTTGTTGGGGGGTTGTCTTGAAAAGAATCTCTAACAAGAAGTACCACATCAAGGACTTGGGAAATAATACCAAAATAAATTTAATTTGAAGGGAAATCAGCTTAAATGAAATGACTTAGTTATGGTTATTCTCAAGTCACACTATTTTGGCTTCCGCTTGAACTTCCCCATAAAATATTACCTCTTTTATAGGTATCCCATTGATGACAGTTTTAAATACAAGTTCATTGTTCTTCTAACTTATCACATAACATTATTTGGCTTTTATAATGCTCTTAACGTATCCATAAGCTCAGCTTGTTAAGCCATTAGTGCGACTCAAAATATGCGTAAACTCGCGTTTTATTACGAGTCTTGGGAAGCACTCACTCTCTCTCATATTACATATCTCTTTCAAACTTTCCTGGGGCGGGAAAGACAGATCTGAAATTGATTTACGTTGCGAGTCCATTGAAACGGGTTGCCAATAATTTTGTTCATCTGACAGGGCCCTACAACCTGTTCACTTTCGGTGCGGCTTTGTTGTGTCGAAACAACAAAAAAAACCATAACAAGAAGCCGCATTTCATTGTAATTTCTTTTTGCGAGCTGCGTTCTGCTCGTTTTGAAGGCAAGTGGAAAGTGGGTCAATCGAGAGATCTTTATAAATATCGCTGCTCGGTTGCATATTTATCTGAAAGATATTTCAGTATCTGGGCGGAGAGGTGACAAACTGTTAATGGATCTAGCTTAAAAATGAAAGTTGTTTTTGTGGTAACAGAGAAAAAAAGACGAAGACGATGGCACTTGCCAGTACTCCAGAGCTAATCAGGCTCAGGGCCCCAATCATCGCACCTCAATCGCCTTTGATTGGCCCCCTCGAGTTTTCCCACTTCAACAAAGTAACGAGCTGCCATTAGCCGGGCGCCACTTTAAATCGAATCGCATCAAAATAAAGCCCATAGAGATCGCCATTCAGCTGCTAACCACAAACAAATAAAATAATTGAACGCTAATCAGCGGGACAGCGAGGGTCTTTCTTTCCTTTCTTCGGGTCAATTTGCCTTGCTGCGCACCCAACCGCTTTTCAGTTCGATTGAGAATTAAATCAATTTCGTTTTTGAATGAGAGGGAAATTGCCTGAAAAGTGAACGAAAACCAAGGTGTCATGCCCGATTGGGCAGAGGAGACCGCAGGGTTGGCCAGGAAACGCAGCTGAAAATTTGTAATTCCATCGGTGATATAACGTGCATTATGAAATCTGTTGGGGTACAGTTTTCCACCTGGCTGTTGGGATTCTAATAACAATCTTGTTATTTTAAGGTCTTTGGTCTCTGCAACTTTGTATTTGACCCACTTTGGCGTAGAACGTGAGCTGGGTAAAAGTTGAATACAGATTTCTTCCGAGAATTGCGGATCGCCCGCTGTCAAACTCATAGGGGTTCAAGGCATCTTCCGCTTTCTATGGCTTCTCATTACCCCGCGAGATCTTCTCAATTATTAAGCCATTAACATAGTTAGTGAACCGCTGACTCTGTTCCGCATTATTTTATGGAAACGATCGCCAGAAATTAGCTCGGTGAAAAATAAAAAAGGTATTACCGGGCAAAACGCTGATCGTTAAAATGACGTCCGAGCTGGGAAAAGAAAGTAAAAGGGCTCGGCGACATAATTCATCGCTGCCGCTGGTTATTGACAGCCCGCCGGATGGCCTCTCTTCTTCCAGGTCATTAAAAGTCGCTTGGATTGGCCACATATCGGGGATGCAGCAAAAGCAAATGGGTTTTGTCATGGCTCTCTGTTGCCTAATTGCAAGTTGCCGCCTGACGAACGCCGCACTTAGCCGAGGTATGTGCAGTAAATATATCAGGGAGATTTTCACCCGCCGACGCCGTACCCAGCACCAAGTGCAGCAAGTGTCAACTTCCGCGTTACTCATACGCCGCGTGGTGCGGCAACGGGTTCCTCAGCTGCATCTTCTTTCTCGCCATAACTCAGCGCAAATATGGCCAAAAGTCAAACGATCCTCGGATCGCTAACGTAATGCAATAGCCAAGCCCAACGCCGCGGCGGTTCAAACTGGGCAACCAGTTATGGCCCGCCGCCGCTGCACTTTCGTTTTCGCATTCGCTGGGCCTTTGTGTCTGGGCGGAAAGTTTATTGCGCGAAAATGAAGAAGCGTTTGTTGCTGGCACACAGTTCCAAAACAAGATTTGAAACAAGCTGCTGCTGCTGCTGCTGCTGCAGCAATGGCATCTGCAATTGGTGGACGGGTCGGGATGGGTCTGGTCTGGTCTGGTCTGGTCTGGTCTGGTCTGGCCGGGTCTGCCGGGAGATGTTGCAAGCCGCAACAGAGTTGCATAACCTGTGTGTGTTTTCCTTTTGCCTGCCGAGGTGGGAGTTGAAACTCTGAGCCGCCCGCCATGCCTAACAGCGCTAAAAACTTGTCCATCGATTTGCGTTTCATTTCTGCCTGCCTGGAGCTGAGGAAAATGCGCAGCGAAATTATTTAATGACATTTTTGCGGTTTGGCAATGTGTAATGGAAAAGTGGTGGATAACCATCTTGCAGTTACCCGGTTTTCAAGCAAAAATCCGAGGGGTTGGGCCACTAAAGGTTAGGGGTTGTGGGAAATTTTACTTCGAAAGAAAGCATTGCAAGAATGTAAGTCAAAGATCCTTAACAAATTTGTTATTTCGAATATATATGGAGCAGGACTGAATTAGTTGGGGGGTTTAAAGACATTTTGAAGACAGTAATTCCTAGAACACAACTATTTCCATATAAAGAAGGACTAACTCCATGTTTCCACTAACTGCCATCATATTTACCCAAGTCTGATGCAACGCTCTCGGCACTTTTCGCCACCTTGAAGGGTTCCCTGCCCGTAAAGTCAAAGTACTCGCTGCGAGAGATACATATACCCTCCTTAGTACCTGTCAGGTGCTGTACGCCCCCAACTTGCGCTGCAGCCCACTTCACACTAGAGTGCTGCCGCTGGCAGCGGCTGCTGCATGCCACATTATCGCCAGCGACCGACCGAA